GACGCGGAGTGACGGAACACAGACGAAGCAACACACACGCACACACACACGCTCCCTGAAGAACGCCTATGGCATTGGGGGGGAAAGCGCGGCAGCAAGGACTCCGCCAGCGCCGGGCAGATAGATGGCTGTTGGGCAGACTGACTGGTGGACGCAAAAAGCCATGGTACCTCACAGTGGACGACCGATGGACAAACCACCCACGCAACACCACGCACAAACGCAGTATGGGCTCCCGCACCACGGCTATGGCGCAGGGGGAAATCAACGGCGGGTACGCCACCGCCGGCGGTGGTGCAGGAGGTGGGTGGGGTGTGTGTGGCGATGGCGGACTGGCCTCTCATAATCGCCAATGGAGGCAATGTGACCACACAAATGAAACCGTACAGGACCGGTCTGGACAATCGATGCGACAGGGTGTTTTCACATTCCTATATATTGGCAAAAAATTAACAATCATGAAGACCCATTTCAAAATGTAATGACGAAAAAAAAACAAACAAACCCGTGACGCCAAAGCGGGAGACTTCGGGAGTTCGGCTGGAAAGGACGGCTACCTACTGGAAATACTGCCCCTGACTCACAGGGCCCAGGGTTTTAGGCTGGTGGGGGGGCTGGCGGTTTAACTGGCGTTCTGCCATGTCATGGAACACATGTTTCTTTCACTACCTGCCTACCACTACTCCTACGGCCATATAAGGGAGGTTACCATTCTTCTCTCAAATGGTTCATCATCTTTCAAATTCTTTCAATTCACCTTTCACTACCTACCTACCACTACTCCTAAGGCTTATACAGGGGACCCCTGTGAACATAGGTTTGTTGTCTCCCTCCAACCATAAGAGGTGGGGGTCTGGCTAACACAAGGACTAAGCATTTTGCCAGTAGCTGTGCCTCCCTTTTCATCGTCCCCCACCCCCAACTGACGAATCACAGCAGTGTCCAAGGCCAACACTCTCCCGCACACCACACACAACCCACTGGACCCTGCTAATACTGATCAGAGGTATCAAGCAGACTATCACTGCTGGTTGCTACTAAGTGCACAGGAGGCCCATGTGGGGCTCTAACCCACAACCTCCTGAATGCCACTTGTGTGCCTAATCAACTCAGATCTCTGTGTGTTTTGCAGTTATATAGTCTTCTGACTCTTCTCTCTGTTTCATCTTTCACTACCTGCCTACCACTACTCAGTCTAGACACCCTACATTCTTCTCTCGATTTCACCTCCCACTGCCTACCTACCATAAAGCATTCTTCTCTGAATGCCACTACTAATTTCAGTCCTGGCGGTACCGGCCAGGGGACAGCAGGGACCATGCCAACAGGACCAATCCCTGTGCCTCCCCTCAGGTCCTCTCGGCTACGAACATCAGCAGACTCTGCTCACTACGGATGGACGGATCCAGTGGTCTATCTCTAGGTGGCGGGAGCCAAGGTGCATGAGGCCCATGGGGATTGAACCCACGAACTCCTGAATGCCACTTGCAAGCCTTACCAACTGAGCTAGGCCGCTACCTACCTACCGCTGTTCCTAAGCCTATGCAGATGTTGCCCCCCGCCCCAATCGGCTGTGGTCAGGGAGTACGGTGGGGCCGCAGGTAGGGGGTCCGGCTAACGTAAGGACCGAGCATTTTGCCACACTATGCGGATTGTTCTTTGCAGCCGTTCTTCCTTCGTACTGCTTCCAGCGTGCTTCCGAACCGATGGGCGGTCAAAACAAATGCTTCGCACAGCGACCAAGTCGTCTGAACGTGGCCGTTACTGCGGCCAAAAGCAGCCGCAAAGTACGACCGTGAAGTGACTGCAATCTAGTGCGCCGGAGAAGAGGAGTGGAAGGACGAGAAGTAGATGGAAAAGAAGTAGAAGCAGCAGTAGCTGCTAAAGGAGGAGGATGAGGAGGAGGAGCGAGGGGGGCGGGAGGGGGCGGGGGAATACAAGCTATTGCAACCGATGATTCTTTGGGATGGGAAACTGACAATCAGGATGTTTTGAACTCAGCGGAGGGCATCCTCGCAGTTAGTACTATTGGATGGACACAAACCGCCGCCGTACTCCACGCCAGTCGAGCCGTATCCCACAAAGTTATATATATACATAGTCCAGCGCAAACCCAGCTACTTGAAGTTAAGCTATTGTGTGCCAAGTGAAGGCGAACTGACCGACCTTTTTTGCCTGTCTCAAGACTTATCATCGTGAGCGTGCCGCCTGAAACACGCACGCACACACACACGCACACACACACACACACACACACACACACACACACACACACACACACACACAGAGAGAGAGAGAGAGAGAGAGAGAGAGAGAGNAGAGAGAGAGAGAGAGAGAGAGAGAGAGAGAGAGAGAGAGAGAGAGAGAGAGCCTCCCTCTCAGTGCATCAAAGGGGAACGTGTCAGAGGAGGGAAGAACCGAAGAACCTGCGAGACAGCCCTCAAAGGCAATCCGAAGATGGCGCCCGTCGTGCTCATGGTGAGTGTTTCTCCTCCCCTCCCCCGCCCCACCCCCTGGCTCCCCCCGCCCCATTTTAAGAGTTTTAATGGGCAGTTTTCTTTCCAGGACAGGGTATTTTAAGGGGCATTGACTGCCGGTGGGGAATAAGCAAACAAGCTAGGGACTTGTTGAACGGAATGTGGCCCTAATTGGTGTGAGGTTTATGTCCCTCCCCAGAGCTGTACTTCACACGTTCATCACCGAGAGAGAGAGAGAGAGAGAGAGAGTGCATCCGCACATTGGCAGGACTTTTTTCCAACGGAATCTGGTCATCGGCACGGGCAGATACATACGTCCACGATAGTCGAAAATTGTGTGAATATGCCCTGCCTGAAGTACATCAGACAAAGTGCTTTTTCCTTGAACGTTCCCCATTTAGGATTTACTACGGATGTCCTGATTTTTCAGTCCCAAAAAGAAAGATAAAGAGAAAACCAGAAAAAAAGAGAAAGAAAAACCCGGGCGTTCCCGCAACTCACGGACGTGAGCTTCTTGCTCTAATAGAGTTCGGAGGGACAATTCACACCAGGCGCTTTTTCGACTGTGCTCTGGATGACAATTGCGGTCATAGACATTTGCTTCGTGCTGCATTTGCGGTCAAGTACATCCAGGAAAGTCTTTGTGTGAGTATGCCCTAACAACTCGAATTTTTGCTGCAAGTCGCCGATACCGAAACGTCCTCTCTTCCTCCTGTAGTGAAGCTGCCCCCTTGGGCCGTACTCAGCTTGAGTTCTGTTTTTTTTTTCTTGGGACCAGAATCTGCCTGGAATTCTCGTCCGCATACATCCCAGGACGTCCAGGTAGTCTGAGTACAGCTCCCCCATGACCTAATTGGACGAAAACGTTTTCCTAAGAGCACTTGGAGCTATGGGAAGAGCAAAGGACGAAGTAATCTCTTCGGGTGATTGTGAGGTTCCCCGGCCTCGATTTGTAATGAATATTTGATGTTTTCAAAAAGAAAAAGAAGCAAGGGAAGGACGCCACTCGCAAACGGCCGCGGGGGGGGGGGGGGGGTGGGGAGAGGGGGCCTTAAACCTCTTAAACCTCTCTCGCCCTTGGTGTAGAGCAACTCCACTGTCCCTCTTCCTCCCATTTTCAGGGAGGAGAGAGGGGAGGAGAGTTGGTTTGCCAATTGATACACCTCCCACTCAGTCTGGCGACTCGATTGCTGTGATCCGGTTTCGATTTGGTTGCGATTTGGTTGGGATTTGGTTGCGATTTGGTTGCGATTTGTTTGCGATTTGGTTGGGATCGGGTTCGTTGCGATTCGATTGAGATTTGGATTGCGACTTCAGTTATTGCGAGATTTGATTCGTTGCGAGATTAGATTCATTTGCGGGATTAGATTCATTTGCAAGATTTGATTCATTGCGAGAGTTGATTGTTATTTCATGGCGAGATTTGATTGTGATTGGATTGCGATTTTTGCGATTTTTGCGATTTGATTGCGATTTGATTGCGATTTGATTGCGATTTGATTGCGATTTGATGGCGAGATTTGATTGCGATTTGATGGCGAGATTTGATTGCTATTTTTGCGATTTGATGGCGAGATTCGAAAGCGAGATTTGATTGCGAGCTCTGATTGCGATATGATGGCGAGCTCTGGGCCTGTGTACTGACTGAACCAAATCCAGCCCGAATCAACGAAGAATAGCAATATTCATGTGGGGCAACCGACTACCCAAAGTAAAAAGAGTACGTATGCTATTCATCAAAAGCATATTCCCCTTGAAAAAAAGAGCAAAACCGTGATGGCGAGATCTGAATGCGATGGCGAGATTTGATTGCGATATTCAATGCGATTTGATACACCTCCCGATTTGGGACCGAGTTGATTTCGCAACTGATTCATCTTCCACTTGGGCGAGTCAATGATCTTTGTTTTGTTCATTTAACAATTGAAAATTGCACAACTGATACCTTCCCAATCTCGCAATCGCAATTGCAATCCCAATCATTAAAAGCATGATTGTAATTGCAATTGCGATTGCATTCATCATAAAATCATTTGATGATTCTGATTGACAGTTGACACACCTTGCAATCATCATCTAATGATCAATGGCGGTCGTTTAACGATGATTGTAATTAAATACATCTTCACAAATTGCAATCATTAAATGATGATGCTGACGATGATTGCAGCTGCTACGACCCAATTTCCGTTGCCGTTCACTGGGTCGATCAGTCGGACATGAAAACCATTTAAGAAAAAATGGACGGATGACGGGAAAACAAGGAGGAAGGGGGGGGGGGGGGGGAGGGAGGGGCAGTGGAAAAAGAAGGAAAGAAGAGGGGGAAACATAGGGGGAAAAAAGCAAGTAAAAAGTGAAATACGGTAAAATGAGCGGAAGAAAAAACGAAGAAAAAGGGGGGAAAGAAGGAAAAGAAAAAGAAATCGACCCACATGCCTCCCCCGCTTATCGCGATGCTCCTCCATCTTTCTCTCACCTCTCCAGTCGGGAAACCTTTCGTCGTCGCCGCTGCTTCCACCTCCATCACCTCCGTCACCTTCATTACCACGATCACGACTATCACCAGCATTACCATCATCACCACCATCACCATCACCATCACCACCATCACCATCACCGTCACCATCACCATCACCATCACCATCACCATCATCGCCACCATCACCATCATCACCACCATCGCCACCATCAACACCATGATCATCGTCGTTGCCGCACGACCATCACCACCGTCACCACCATCGCCACCATCGCCACCATTGCCACCGTCACCACCATCATCGCAACCATCAACACCATGATAATCGTTATTGCCGCACCACCATCCCCACCATCCCCACCATCACCACCATCATCACCATCATCACCATCAACATCATGATCATCGTCATTGGCGCACCGCCATCACCACCATCACCAGCATCACCAGCATCACCACCATCACCACGATCACCACCATCGCCACCATTGCCACCGTCACCACCATGATCATCGTCATTACCGTTATCATCCGTGGCGATCACAAATTGTTCACGCTTATGATGGTCCATTTTCACAATTTTCGTCATCAGCAGTTGTGGTTCTTGCCATCTCCATCAGTCCGTCTATCATCCATGACCTCCATCGTCGGTCGTTTGCTCCGTGTGTCATCGTCATTGATCGCCGTTGTCTCATCGGCATTCTTCATCGTTCCCTGTATCGTCCATCTATCATCCGCATTATCGGTCGTTCGTTCACGATCATTGTCGTGATGGCCATTGTTTCACCGGCATCGTTATGGTTCTCATGAATATCATCATCGCCTTGATAGTCATCATGCTCATCATCGTGATTGTCATCAGTTTCATCCCCCTGATAATCATCGTGATAATCATCGTTATAATCATCGTGATAATCAGCGTCATAATCATCATGATAGTCATCGTGATGATCATCACGATCGTCAGCACGATCATCATCATGATCCTCACCACCAACAATCATGATCATCAGCAATCTTCTAATTGTCATCAACTTTTTCCTTCCTGATAATCATCATTGCGAGGATTTAGCCCTCACATGGCCGCACGGCCGCGGCCTCCAGTTGCCTAAGGGGGGCCCCGGCAAGCACGTCGCCCGCCTAAGTGAAGGCGCACCTGAGAATCATAGAGGGCCCCCAAATCGGCCAATTTTGTGTGTTGGGCGCCAGGCAGTTGCCACGCGCCAGTTGCAAATGCCCTGCTCGTGAGAATCAGAATCTTCGAGGAAGCTTCGACATGGAAGCAGGCCTCTCGGCCTATCAGAAAGCAGGGAACACGTCACAGCCCCCATGGGGTGCTTGGGCGCATCTTGAAGCTGCGGGCCCCGACAACTGTCTGAATGGGCCTGGGCGCAGACACTTCGGGGCGACCTGAAGCTACTGGGCCCCCGCATGAAAGTGAGCGCCCAGCAGCGGGGTGATTCTGGCCAGGCAGGCAATGCGGCCACGCTGCTGCGTTGCTGGGTGATGCAATGCTGCTCTAGTGCTGGCCAGGGCGCACACGGGCGCTGAGAGGTGAGGGGCCCTTCTGCGGCAGCAGGTGCCAGGTGGCCATAGCCGAGCTGCTGGGCGCAGAGTAGGTAATCGGCGGTGGTGGTCTTCGGGTGTCAGGGATGCACACTGGAGGGAGTAGAGGAGTGAGGTGAGAGAAGAGAGATACGTACCTGGTGTATGCTGGCAGTCTGCATGGGCGACGTCGTCACATACGATGGTCTTCGGCATCGAAGTGAATCCTGTTGCAGGAAAGTAGTGTAGGCTAGAGTAGGCTGAGTAGGATAGGCTGGGCGCTGAGTGCCAATTAGGAAGAGCGACATTCGATGCTATGTTGATGTGGCGAGAGAGTGTCGACGTCGACATTTGAGTTCATTGCATTGCTCTTATTTGGCTCTATCTCGGTGATTGTGCTTTCTGCTTGGTGTGGGATACTCTGGACTACTTAGTGATTTTGCAATGATGGATTTCTGTCTATCGCTCTCGCTCATATTCCTTGCAAATTTGGTATCAGAGCCGGTTCGTAGTTTGCCGATTACCGGCTCTGGTGTCTTTGTTCCTTGGTGCGCTGACGAAGCTTCTCCGCAGTAAGGATACGTTGACGTTGGCTTATTAGGCTCTCCCAGGTAGAGGGGAGCGGGCCAGGAAGGATGTGGCGACAGTGAGAGCATGCTGACATGGCATTTTTGCTGAGGTCGCACTGCATTGCATGGTTTGTTGTACCGAGGCTATGACCGGTCATCAAAATGCACTTTGGCTCAATTGGTAAGAAATCTGTGGTTCGGGGCAGCAATCTCCAGGTACGTTGTTCCCATACCTTATCTTCCCATCTCAATTATTCTTACCATGAGGAAGAGAGCTCGACTCGAGAGTCCTCTGCTGGGTGAGGAGTCGTGAGCGCTCTACCTTGAGAGTCAACATTCTTCCTGGTGGCGCATCTGGCAGGAGAGGGCGGTGCCTCTGAAGGGCTCTGGACGAAGCACGGATCACGGTCACCATGCCAACTCACGGGAGTAGAGCAGCGCAGGCTTTGCTGCATTGTCCTTTGAGCTCTTGCTGCACATAGAGGGAGGTGGTGTGAGTCAGCCTGGGTGACCGTCATTAAAGATACTCCAGCGGGGAAACCGACTCACACCCTATGCGAGGATAAAAACAGTGCGGACGAGGCTGGCTTGCTCTACATTATCTGGGCACAGGGGTGGGCCGTTGTGCACACCATAGACACCACTGATCAATGATGCAATCAGGAACATCGGATACAGGATGGGGAAGATTCCAATTTGCAATCAGACTTGTTCTCAAACACACTTTTCATGCATGTAAACAGCAACGCAGCATACTGGCGACATACGCCCACTCAAAAATCAGATATATGGCTTTCAGATACGAGTTCACTCTCAATTGGCTATGGCGACTTCAGCGCCCAAACATCTCACTGTTCACATACACTGGATCACCCTGGATATCCCACACGCATCACTCTAACACTCGAACACACACACACACACTCACTACTAACTACAGCTATGGCAGCTGTCGCTGCATCTACCCTATCGCTATGCTAACTCCCACTCTCTTGCCCACTGCGTCCTCCGGGCCCATCTGCAGACCTCCTTGCACAAGTCGCTGTGGCAGCGCTTCCGCATGGCTCACGCAGGAATGAATGAATGGCTGGGCGCTGCCTCTTGATTTATACTTCAGAAATT